ATGTTTTCACCGCCCTATCTACATAACGCGTTTCTATATCATAGAAAATTCTATACTCACATCTATACTCTTCCTATACTCACAACAGCGCGTAGCACGCGTCCCATATATTGCTATACTCCCTATATACAAAACAGCACAGCAGCGTCGCATATATAGCATATCAAATAACAAAATATACATGCATAGAATGTCTATTAAAATATATAGATATATACAGGCGGCACGCCTCAAAGACGCAATCATTATCATCACAATCGTCACAATTTCACAAAATATACAGGCGGCATATTTTAATCGCGCAATCATTATCATCACAATCGTCACAATTTCACAAAATATACAGGCGGCATATTTCAATCGCGCAATCATTATCATCACAATCGTCACAACTTCACAAAGCTCCCCACCCTCCAAAACGTCCCGACGTTTGCTCTTATAAATCTTCACCAGACTCAGGAACTTCCACCATCCATCTTTTTAGCTCCGGTCCCCACCTCGTCGGTTATCTTCTTTTTTTTTTGTTGTGGTCGTCGTGCTCAATTGATTTTCCGTCGGTTGCTGATTTTTTTTCTGTCGGTTGTTCGTCCAGACCAGCGAACAGGTCCATCGATGGCTGATTACCTACGGCAAACAAATCTGGTCGCTGATCAAAGAGTTCGTCAACAAGCCTCACAAGTTCTGGAACGATGTCCGGCTGCCCTGGTAAAAATTCTGGCGTATCTTCGCCTGTCCAGGTTTGGACAAGCGACTCGGTCGACTCGTCGTTACTTCGTGATGGTACTTCTGTTGGCTTCTCTATGGAATTGTCTTCTGTGATGTCTTCAGGCTTAACCTCCGGCATTTGGAATGTCATCAGTTGATCGGCGAGTTTCCTTGCCTGGTCCGCTTTTTCTCTGCGCCTTTTGGGTTCATCTATACATCCATGGAGGGAAAATGCTGGCGCCAGTTCTGTCAGCATTTCGCTAATGGCCGCCCTCGCCACCAAATATCTTCTTCTAATCTCTTCTGACGATATCGTAGGAAACAATCTCTGCAAAAACAACAAAATTTTATTATATTATATGACGATTTGAGATCCAGAGTAGAAAACCATTGCGCTCCTGACATTGCATCCAAACACGTCAATTCTCGGCAAGGGGTACGCATCTTTAACCGTTAGCGAATATTCAGTTTCCTATAATCTATACAGCATCGGTACGATCCGTCTTTTTTCTTTACTAACACGACGTTGGATGACCAGGGACCATGGGCTGGTTCTATTACGTCCTGTTCAAGCATCTCGTCAACCTGTTCCGCGATCACCTTTTGATGCGCCGGAGGATGTCGTCTCGGCTGTTTTACCGGTCGTGCATCCTGAGTATCAATCTTATGGAAGACTCCTTTTGCAGCACCTATTTCTCCACTTGCACAGCTGAATCTGTCTGAAAAACTTATAAGTATTCGAGTCAACTCTTCTCTTGCTTCTTTAGGAATATCTTTTACTAATCCATCAACTATACCTGTTACTTCTGTTAGATTTTCATATGCTAGACGATCAACTGATTCCTTTGCTTCCACAGCCGATGATAAATCTGACAATCGCGTTCCCCGGTTTATCACCCTCGGTTGATCGTTGACATTCAAGTTTGAGATTTGCAGGTCTCATTCTTCTGAGAACATTTGACCGCAAGATGACCTGGCTTCTTACAATTAAAACAAATTTTTTCTCGCTCAACTCGGGATACCGTTGGCTGCACTCTTTTATTTCTGAGTTCTTCGAATGACTTTTGAAGGAACGCAATCTGTCGTACCATCGACTCCATGTTTTCTGCTCCTGCTTGAAAATCTTTAACCTGCGGGTCAAACCTATGAGATGAATCTACCACCATCTTTGAAACTTCAAGACGCTGTGCAAATCTAAGAGCATCGTCAATGTTTTTTGGTTCTTTTTCCCTAACCTTTAACTCTAATTCAGCATTATCGAGGGCTGACAAGAAAAAGGCCCGAGCTAGATGTGTAGCTAATCTTGACTGCTCTCCTGGATAGGCTAATGACATGAGTCTTTTAGTAACCATCGACAACTCTCGTAACGACTCACCAGGTTTTCGACGAAGAATCTGTAATTCGTACCTGTATGACTCTTCATGACCTCTTGTTCCAAAACGATCTTCTAGCTTAGATACCAGCTCTTGGTAACCTAAACCTGTTAAATCCCAGAGAACCTGTGAAGCTTCACCTGTTAACGAACATGACAAATACGCTTCCATGTCTACGAGATTCCAATTATTGTACCTGGCACATATCTCAAACTTTTTTAAGAAAGTTTTGAGACAACCGGTGCCATCAAATCTGTCAGGTCGAAGCAATTCGCGACGACAAAAGTTGTTGTCACGCTCGGCACCTATACGCGATTGATGAACCTGAGACTTCACACCAGTTGAATGAA